AAAAAAAAAAAAAAAAAAAAAAAAACGCTCCATAAGTATTAAAGGTATCACGCTAAAAAACTTCCTTATTTTCTTCTAGTTCAAAATCATCGGCAAACACAAAATGAAATGCACAACTTCATACCAGTTCACAACTGCATGAATTTGCAGTCAAATCCCATACACGGATATTCCCATTTTGATCTCCAGATATCAGTTCAGTCTGCAAATGACAGAATATTGGTTAGCAATGTAAAAGCAACGCAATAACATTAGTAGCTTTTCTTAGTATGAATCTCAGAGAAAAGCAAGACAGAATTGGTTCAATGAAAATTGTATAATTAATATTCCTTCTGATGCCCAAAAAGTTAAACAAATAAATTGTATTCAGGAGATGCTCTTGTGCATTGTCTTATGCAGTATAATTATTATTATTGTGATGAGAGACAAACTTCCATTACATAAGTAGGACTAATAGGATTTGAAGTAAAATGACATCAAACTGCTAAAAGGGGTAGAATGTGATAAATTACCTGATTAGGATGTAGAACAACAGTGTTAACTGCTGCACGACTTTCATATTCCCTCTGACAACCAGGAGCCCTGCATTTCTCAAAATCAGTCCAGATACCTTGAATACAAGTCTAACAACATCAAACATTTATACACAATCAAATAACGACACATTAATTTGAAAGCTTTTCCCACCTCAAGTCCCATATTTTTACTGTGCCGTCCTCGGAACCTGAATACATCCAGTTCCCATCACATTGAAACCCCACTGACATTACATTATTAGTATGTGAATCATAACTCATTATCTGCCATGTAGTTTGGGGGTAAAAATAGAAAGAACAAACTCATTAGAAAATGAAAGGAAGATTTATTTTCACTCAGCTTCCATCTAGAGATTCAGGAAAAAAAAAAAGTTTAATAATAAAAAGAAATGAGCAGGTTACATACCGGGCTATTTGAATTGATATCAAACAATCGGATGTGAGGATTACCAGCAGCAGCCAAATATCTTTTGTCTGGGGTAATCTCCAGTCTATTAACTTGCTGCGCACATTATTTACGGTAATTAGGCAAATGAGGGAGCAGAAAATATCCACAATTAACTGTTGCGAGAAAAAACCAGGGGATAAGGCTAACTTCTAACTAGTTAAGAAAAGACCAGAGGCAGAACCACCACCCTGCTCAACCAAAGTATTAAGCCCCACTACTGAAGTATTTCTTCCTTTCCATTATATACTCACATATACGGATCTCAAAGTTAAGTTCATCTTGGCCCTTTCATATCTTTTCTCAACCAAAGATAAGCAATGTGAGCTATGACTTATATTTAAAGAAAACTCATACACTATTAATATAACAAGAAATTTATAAACGAGAGGATATGGCATGATTCCTCTTTCCTCATTTCTGTTCCTTACATATATGGCTCCTTGTTGGTAGAGGCTTGGGCGTGGATAATTTGAAGCAGAGGAAAATCATGCATACATCAATACAATTTTCTGAACTCTGAAGTCTTTCAAATGCTACTACGTTTCCCGTAACCACACCCCTATTACCACCCCCAAAAATCATTGAATTCAACATGAATTTGACCCAATTTTTAAAAAGGCTCAAGTAACATAAAAAGACCATAGTTAAGTATGTCATAATGTTCGGAGAATGAGATAACTTTCCTACTTATAAATTTGTAACCCGACTAAAGTTTCTTCCAAAATTTCTAACATAAGAAAAGAAAAACATAATGCAGAATAACCAAGAAACACAGAGAAAAACCAGTCAAAGAATTTATGAACTAACAGAATCGGGGTATTGTATAGTTCGGTAACAGCGACCGCTTTTGGCCTCCCAAAACCTAATAGTGTGATCATAGCTAGCAGTTGCAAGTATCACTGATGGTTGAGTCATCTTAATCTCCTGCTAGTAACAAAGAAAAATAGGGAGTAAATTGAAAAGCCAGGTAGGAACTCGGTATAGTTCTCGATTACAGCCACACAATAAAAATGCATTTGCATCAGAATACAGTAACATACTTCAGGATTTGTAGAACATGAACATACTCGTGTCAAACGCAGAAGGAGCTCATAAAACCACGAGGAAGAAGAGTTATTACTTGGAGGAACTTATCGAGATGAGAACAAACTTCAGTTTCTTTCCTCCACCACCAGTATCGATCAGACCGAGCTCGCGATCACCGTCTGATAGGATCGAAACTCCTACGAACCCTAAAGGTTTGCTAGGCCCCGACAGGCGTTTGATTGGTAGAAAATTGGAAGGAATCCATGCAAGAGACGGTGCTTCCGATTTTAAAATGCCTTACGAACTACCACCGGCGAGAGAGCCATTCTGAATGCCTTCGCGCCGTCGTTGTTGCCTCACAGGTTGAAAAATCACAGACAAGAACATCGACGGTCGATTAATTTATTGGTATAAAAGAAAATGAACAACTTTTTTTTTTTTTTTCCTCCCTTATTTTCATAACAGACGAAATAGGGAAATGAAGAACAATAGAATTTTTTTTTTTTTTTTTCTCTCTTTACAAACAATTTTTTTTAGTAGAAAATGTTTTTATGTTAGATTCAAATGGAGGTTCAAAATAGTTTTACACTATAAAAATAAATAAATTAATTAAATATCAACTTCTTGATATTAAGAATTGATATCTTATTTACTATGTTATTTGTCATAAAATTTTTATACGAATCTGTATATTAAACATAATTTTATTTCAATTTTCTTAATACTATGATATATGATTGGATCCATTTCTCCATCTTAAACTAAACAAACACATCCCTCAATTAACCATAAAAGTGCTCTATGCATGAAAGTCACAAACAATAGACACAAGCTTGCATGTAACTCAACTATTCTCGTAACATAATCGTCCAATCCTACCATGATAAGTTGCTAAAGAAGCTCGTAGAATATTAAATCGGAAGTACCATTTGGCACCACGAGAGAAATCCTAATAAACTAAGCAAAATGGAACAATTTTATTCTTGCTTTTTCTCACCAAAGCAAATGGTGGGCATCCAGGATGGGATTTGGATGGTTCAGTGGTAGTATCAGATGCAAAAGTATACACAAGCAATGGAAATTTCAGCAAATTTTCTGAAAAACTGCGTTGGTTGATCAATAAAATCCATTTATAGAGGTGAATAAAGTCTAACTCTTCATTCAAAAATAGTCTCTCCGCTCAGATATCTGCAAGTGCTTCTACTTCATGCCAATGCTGCTATGATACACAGCAGAGGAAATATTGCAATGCTGCTCATTTCTGTAGCTGGCTTCAAGTTTAGAGTGGGGCGGGTTATATTGCAAAGAATGCCTTTTTGAGTTGTCGTACTTCTTCGTGCACTACCAACCTCGAACGATGGCCACCGACCGCACTGCATAAGAATCTAGTTGAACATGGCATAAGAAATACTTCTGATGCACTTAAAAAAAACAAACTCAAAGTGAAAGAGAAGAGTCAAGTCGCAATCAGATACTCACTCAGTGGCAAGGCTATCTAGGATGCAATAGTTCTTGCTCAATGGACTCAAACTCTTTAAGGTTGGTAACTACATTTTGAACTTTTCTGGATAATTGGTCGGTATGCTCTTCAACAATTTTCATAAATGCAGCAAGCTGTTCTTGGTATGTGGAGCATAACCGTTTCTTATTCCGCAGCTCTATAGTGAGTTCCTGTATTTGTTTATCCTTTTCATCCTATAAGGGAAGTCCAAAATCAATGGTTTTTAATCACGATACAACAAATATAAGTACATGTCAACCACCCACAAAAAAGTTTTAGCTATCAACAGGAAAATAATTCTAGTATCTTCTCAATTCAAGTTGAGGGTTTTTTTTTTAATCTTTTAAAATCTTTTGTTAAAAAGCTCCCAATCTCTAGTAAGTTTACTGGTTTCCCGAACTAGGGATAAACTAGTATAGTATACTATTCATGAGTAACTAAGTATGCTAAGTGGGTGTTCCAAATGGTTCCAACCATTTAGTTGGAGCGAAAATTCCGAACATTTCAATTGCTTCAATGGATAATTGGATCAGGTGAGACCATATCACGTTATGCATCATAACTGAAAGCATCAAAACATGTTAGGATATACAAAAGATCAATTCAATTCACCTATACAACGAGACAGCTAGAAAACATAACGGGCAAGGTGTTGGAAGGAATGAGTAATTGGTTGAAAAGGGGTGGCATGCCCGGGAAGCTCTAGCATGTACTCAATTTTTTTTTTACTTTTCCTAGTGATAGAAAGTGGGGGATAGTTGTTGAGAAGGGACGGGCATGCCTGGTAAGCTCGATTTAGTATATAAGAAAAGTTTTTACTTTTCCTAGCCATCACTAATGGGGTTTTGTCACCGGTAAACTCTGAGTGATAGTTCTATTGATTTGTCATCTGGTTACCATGTTCTGGGTTTATAGCTATCTGGTTACTGTACCCCAAATTGCTGGAACAAAAGAGGATACAGAGATGAGATGTAGGAAGTTCGAAAATGACGAACAAGGTGGCTCAGGAGGGATGGCAGGGTCAAGGAGATTCCGCCATTGTAATCTGTTCCATGATATAGAAGCAAGAAAGGCACGTCATCCTAAATAATTTCATAACAAAAATTAGCCAGGCATGTCACATAAATTGTTTGGAGACATCGTGTTGCTATGAAGCCAAGGGCCATAGCCATATTGAGTAAATATTGATTACTTCCAAGCAATTAGCCTGCATGAGTTCTGCTTCCTTTCAGGATTTTCCCCCCCTTAATTCATCCATACAAGTCAGCAAGTATTACCTAGCAGCCTAGCCCAAGCGGACTTTCTGTTCTCAATAGCTGGCTGAACTAAGTAAATGATATATCATTTTAGTCAGTTAAAAGGGCAGGTTTCTTCCTAACACAAATGACTGAAATCATGATTACACCCTACATTGATTAGAAAAGAGAACGAGTGCCAGCAAGGACCCTAGACCCCGAAGGGAGGTGGATTGTAAGATCCCAGATCGGTTGGAGAAGAGAACGAAGCATTCCTTATAAGGGTATGAAAACATCTCCATAGCTTACGCGTTTTAAAAACCTTGAGGGAAAGTCCAAAAGGAAAAGCCTAAAGAGAACAATATTTGCTAGTGGGGGGCTTGAAGCATTACAATTAGAGCCGCTAAAACTGAAACTTAGTGTAACATAATGAATAGATAATATGGAAATGAGAAAATTGCAGTTTCAACGTGCCAGGTGACATTTTATTTTTTGGATAAAATTCATATAAATTCATCTTTGTTTTTCCTTTTTTAATAAACCATTGATCATACTGCAACTAATATAAACATTATAAATGATCTAGAATCCTTCATGCTAAAAAATTGATCAAGTGCTGGAACCGCTAGTCTTCCTATCTCTCACGAAATTTCGCTGCTTCTTTTGCAGTTTCTCTCTAATACAACCAACCGTTAAAATATAACACACTCAACTACATACACAAATTTCTATCTTTTCTAGATAAGAAACAATACTTTCATTATCAAAAACAAAATAATTCTAGATGGTGCAAGATACCATGAGCATATATAAAACAAACCCAACAAAACACTGAGCACAGTCATAACTGCACGGATGCATAACCAAAAAATTCACTCTGTCCTCCACTTATCCACATCCACATTCAATCAGAAAGGTAGTTTTCCAAGGCACAATATATGAGGAAAAGATCTTTTCAATTCCATCTCCCTAAAAAACAAAATTGATTCACTGAACGATCCATCAAATAGCTCGCTTTGTTTAAAGAAACCCGGGTTTCTACGAGCCAAAATATGTTTCCACAAAACATGTTCCAATTATTGCCAATTCCATAACATCTTCGCAGATTCTAGCCTATTAATTCTTAGGCCTCACTAGAAAGCATACTAGCAAATGACAGTCTTATTGTAATATATGATGTTGGATAGAAGATAAAAGTAGGGGAAGAGAAGAAACACGCACCATGGTCTGCCGAGCTTCACGAGGAGAAACCACAAGAGGATGATTATGTTCCTTTACAAATTTAGTTATCACCCATTTCCCAGACTTATCATATTTGACATGAATCATTGCCTTACAGCCTTCTCGTGTGCTTGGCCGTGGCTTCCGAACTGCCCCAAATTTACCACGGATGCTGACACAATAACCTTCTTTGTTGCATCCAAGTCTTCGGGCAAGTATCCTCCCATCTTTTTCAGAACGACGACAAGACATAACACGCATAACAAATCCCACTTGACGGGCATACTTATCATAGAAAATCTTGGCAGCATCTTCAGACTCGAATTCCATGCCCTCATAAGGCTCAAGAATGATATCTCCATCACCTTCAATTAATTCTGTTCCCGCCGGACTCTCGAATGATCCTCCCTCTATCCCTTCCTCTACCGCATCTGCGTCCACTGTCAGAACACATCGTTCACTATTATCTCTCAAATCCATCTGAAAGTTATCCATATCTAGAGAAATTAACTAAATCACTAAATGAGACAAAGAACATAAAAGTCAAATGTATATATCCCATTTGCAAAGTTAGATCATCAACAGAAAATGGCGGCACATCCAAGTACCAAAAATTCAATTTCCAATAGACAATGAAATCCAGAACAACGATACGGTTTTCAAGCGCATTCAATTCAATCATCTTATCACAACTTCCGTCTGCAACCCAGAGGATTGACAAAACAGGAAAAAAAGAAGAACAGCGATTAGAACAAGTAGATGAAACTATTACCGTGATCAGAGGATGAAGGATTGATTGGGCAGAAGGAAGAACGAAGGGGAGTGGCAGCGTCTGTAGTGCGCGGCTCTGTGAAAGAAGCTTCGAGAAAAGAGTAACGATGGAGAACGATGCGAGTAAAAGAAAGGCGAGGGAAATGAAAGATAAGACGGTGAAAACAGAGGATATATATATATATATTTTTTTTTTTTTTTAATTTGTAAATGTTATATATTAAATTTTTAAAATTTATGAGTAGTTTTATATTGAAAAATCAATATTAGCAAAAAACACCTAATAATAAAACTAATTTTAGTTAATAATTTTATTTAGGTGAATATTCATCTACTTATATAGTAATTATTGGGTAATATATCCACTAAAATAAAACAATATATAATTTATTACAGGTAAAAAATTAAAACCAATCTTAAAAATAAAAAATTTGAGTCCATTTAATATTTTTTTCGGATCAAACTGACTAACTTAAAAATAGACTATAATCTATCTCAATACTATTTTTAAGAATATTTGACGTTTGTAAGCAATATTGAAGACTATGATAAATATTTAATATTTAAAATTTTAAAAAAATTAACATGTATAATTTTTGTAAAATAATAATAAAAAAAAAATACTCGACAGGTTGCGAGTTGAATTATATCAATGGAAAAATATTTTTTTAAAAATAAAATTATTGGTATATAAATTATTTTAATTTTCATTTCTGAAAACTTTATTTGCGCGCGCGTTATTCTTCTTTCTTCGTTACGACTCTCGTTCCCCTTGGCTTCCTCTTCGTTTTCGATCTTTTCATCCCCGATAGAATTCCTTGGCTTCGTGCTTCGTTTTCATTCTCTTCGACTTCACCTGGACTTCAATTAGGGCAAAATATCCAAGCACATTTGTTGTCCCAGCAATGAGAGGAAGATTATTTCGGGATCGTTGCAGTATCTACGTTCGGAAACGAACATTTGGAACGGAGATAACAAAAATTGTAGCTGAACGTTGATTTTGGGTTCAATCTCAGGAGGAAGCGAAGATTTGAGTTATCTCAAAGGTTTGTAATCTTTGTTATTTTTGTATTCCATTAAATTCCAAATTTTAAATTGATGTTTCTCTGTGATTTTGTGATGTTTTTTCTGTGAGAAAAACTCTGAGCAAGTTTTGTGATATGTCTAACACCACCAGATTTTCAAGTTGGATAAAACATTCCTCGTCCAAGTCCTTCAATCTATTTCCTCCCAGATCTAATTCTCTCAAGTTCAATAATCTATTTCCTCCCAGATCATCTATCACAACTCCTATTGAAATTCCAAATATCAATCCTAAGGATTCCCCTTTCATCTCATCCTAGTTACTTCCCAATTGTCAATGCACTAGCTTAATCCTTTATGACCCTGCAAGAAGACTCACAAATCACACTGCAAATTGAAAAGAGAAAACTCGCTGTATATAGAACAGATCATTTTCATTGTTAATTTTCTGATTAATTCAATATCTGGATCATTGTCTGATTTTGTATTCAATGAATCTATATGACTGTTCTACTCTGCTCATGAACTTGAGTTATCCAATCAGTTCATCTGGTAGCATATTCCTTTTTGATAATGGTTTATCATTCATAGACTAATATTGAAAGCAACTATTGATAGAATTATGTCAATACCATTAGTTAAATATCAAAATATATCATTGATACACTGATTTTCTTCTTTGATATCGATCTATTATTGATAGGCTCATGTCAGTATCATTATGTTAAATGTTGACGAAAATCACTAATAGACTGATATCTTTTAGTGCAGAAGAAGAAGCAATAGATAGAAATTTATCATTCCACTAGTAACAACAGTAGAACACGCTTCCATGATTTCAAATTGATGCAAAAAAAAAACAAAAAAAAAAAAGTCATTATATAACTCAATGATATTGATATCAGTTAACCGATAATAGGTTTCAATCCCAGTCTATCAATGATTGACATCAATATTTAACACAATGATACTGTTATGAATATATCCTATCACTAATATATATTATAATATCTTTCCTTATATACCTCTTGACTATTCTCCTTTTTTGTTTGTTTGTTTGTTTGTTTTGTTTCTTTTTCTTTTTTTTTTTTTTTTTTTTTTTTT